TCACGACGCTGCCTCATTCAAGTGACACGGTCCTTCCGCCAAAAGAGGGGTGTTCAGAGGATGACCTTTCACCAGTTCACAGAGCCACAGGAAGCCTGCTTGCATTAATCAGCCTTGATATGTTTATCCTTCTCAGGTCAATTAACTCTGGTTCCCTGGCCACTCTGCTCTGAAGTGTCACAGGTACTTTGTAACTTAATTTCACTCTTACCTCTTCAGGGCTTCAAGCAGCCACCCTGGTTTTTTGGGGAGAGGGCAGAAAGGGCGATTGTAATGTGAATATGAAGAATTATGGGTGAGGCCATATTAACTTTGTATAGTGGATGAATGTTGTGTGCTCCCCAGCTGCTGAAGAGGTAGGGCTGAGCACAGAGCACTTTCAGAGCCCTGCCTTTTAGTGCTATAAAATGCTGGCAGGGGCCAGACACAAATGCGAAGCAGCTCAGAGTTTTTTAAAATGCCCAGTAGTAAAAAACTTGCATCATCTGCATTAACCTCAGGCAGCTCTGCATTTCCTCTGCCTGATCTGTCAGGAGTGGAATCTGTTCCCCAGCCCAGGGTTTAGCGTACGGGGCTTCAGGTACAGCTCTTCTGTGGATTTACTCTGGTCAGCATCCCCTGGGGCAGGGGAGAGGGGGCTCCCCTCACTCCCCATCTTTTGTAAGCAAATTCCTCTTTCTCTCTTTGATAGACTGCTCTGTGCACATCCTTTCACAGCATCTGATGAAGTGAGCTCGGGCTCATGCAAGCTTATGCAATACTGATTCAGTTAACCATGTTAAACTGAAGTTGGGCAGAAGGCAGGGTAGAGATGCACCCTGTAGACTAACTGCCTCCCTCTGCTCAGGGTCAGCAGCCCCACTACTTAGCCATACATCCCTTCCCGCTGCTTAAATATGCAGGTCCTAGGTGCTAGGATAAATTCCCTCTGCCTTTGCCATGTACCTTTGCAAAGGACTGGAGACAATTTTCAGTAAGCAGAGAGCAAGATGGGTGTCTGGTGAGGAGCCCAGGCCCCCAGTGTGGTGGCATACGCACACAGGTCTGGGTTTCAATACTCTTGATGCTGTTCCAGGCAATGGAGAGTGACCAGCTAGTGCGCACACACTCCAATGCTGGAAAATCCCTCCTGCACTCTGGCCTTTGTGATGATGCACACTGAGGGCAGAAATGCTTTCCACTTCTTGCATGGATGGATCAGCTCCATTCCACAAATGACAGGTGCCAAGGGGCATCCTTTTTTGGTGTGGTTTCTAGAGGGAGCAGGGTGAGGGTCCTGGGCCCCAGCACTTTGGGAACGTTCCTGATTAATGGAAAGTTATTTATATCCGCCAGCTGGCCTGGCTTCCAAAGGGCTCTAGCACATGGCAGCCAGCCTTTAGGAGCTGGCTGATTTTTGTTTTGTTTGGGTTTTTGCTGCCCCCCCAGGAATGCACTAGAATGAGCTTGTGCGGTGCTAACGGACTCAACTCCTGGGTCACTCGCTGGTGTGCCTCATTGCTTTTGTCCTGTGGACTTGCTGTACCCAGCATACAACCCAGAGCTGGCTCCCGCAGTGGTGTTGCCAACAACTTCAGAGGCAGCAGGATTAGACCCTCTTGGGGGTTCTCCTCTTTCAAGAAGCTGAACATCCCTAGGAAAGCCTCTGGCAGTTGATGGCTCATAGCCCTTCGTGGGATTGGGGCCCTGGCTCTGGCTTCCAGGCTTTCTCCTCATGTGTTGTGGACGCAGTTCTGTTTCTGTGCTTTGTTTGTCAGCTTGTGCTCAAAATGTTGTTAACCACAAAACTTAATTTTTGTGCAAAAGGGAAGAATAGGCCTCACACCCGCCTCTGCAAAGCAGCCTCTGGATCCGCCACACATTGGAGCAGCCCAGTTTACTGCTTTGCTGTCTTCCATGGGGGCTTTAAAATATATATTTTTTTAATTTTCAGGGGCATCTTTGCCCAATTCCCTCCCACCCATCAGCTGCTGCACCATATGCATCCATGTTCCCATCACACCTCAGAGCCCCAATATGAATGTAGCAGCTGCTAAAGCTGGTGTCCTCCTGGCTCCATCTCTATGAACCGAGGCCCAGAAACTCATTGGCAAAGTAAAGTGATCAGTGCAACTTTGCTCTGAGCCAAACAGCCATGTCCTACCGAGCACTCGTGAATAATGGACTCCCTATTGGATAGGGGGAAAAACCGTTCTATGTTTCTAGAGTATTAAGTGTTTCATTTTTTGAATAGCAAGGCACAATCCAGGAATATATTTAGTAGGGGGGAAATTATAGCACAGATTAAATAGCTTAACCTTTCTGCTATCAATTGGTCGTATTTATATCTTTCACAGTATTTTAATTTCTTTTTCTTATTAGTCCTTTAACCTGCAAGCAATAAATTGTAACATGCCAAATAAAGCAGCATTTTTTGTCAATGGGCTATTCCAGCTTTAGAGAAAACGGTCTATTTTATGCAAATGATTCTGTGTCTAAAATGGCAATTATGCAATTATAAAGTCTTTGGGAGAGTGTACTTGTTTTTTGTATCTGACATGTAATTTCTACTATATTGATTCAGAACAGCTCTGCCAGAGGGCACAACATAATGGAAATTTTAATTTTAGATGAGATCTAATTTTAAGCAGCCGCCTTAGTGAGGTGTGGGAACAACATGGCAATAAATAAATAAATAAACTAAACATTGTTCCTGGGGTTTTTGTACTGGTGGCAACTTGTCAACCTAGAAATTAAAAATAAAATTGTGTTGCAGTGCGGAAAGCAATAATTTTTCTGCCTGTGTGTTTTAGTCCTGCTAAACTAGAACTCTCAGGCTGTCATCTCAGCCAAGCTGCTTGCAGGGATTGGGGAACGTTGTCTTGTCCGGGTGACACTTAGGTTTTTCACAGGGTCTCTGCAAAAACCCACATCAACCAAGCAAAAATTAAACTGTTAATTTTATGGTGACAGTTTGCAAGCTAGCTGTGCAAACTATGTGCATCAAGCTTGGCTGCTCAGAAAACTAGAAGCAAGCTTTAGAGACTTAACAATTATGTTGTCTCTCTCTGAATTAAACCTGATTTAAACCAGCTGAGAATTACAAAGCAGTTAGAGAATGGATGGAGGGCAAATTAAAATAATGCAAATGGCTGTTTTAAGAACAGCTTTAGGACCCAATCCTGTCTCTGGTTGGGGAGATCTTTTATGTGCAGGGAAATCCTGTTGAATTAGAAATAGGATTCTGCCTAGTTGAGGGCTTGATCTTACAAAGGAACTGAGTGCATCCTCAATAGGCTTTGGGGTCAAGACTTAAGAGAGCAGAGCTTGATGTCTTCTGCTAGCACTGGAGAACCCCTGTAACATGATTGCTGTTGGTATCAGTCATGGATACTTGAATACACCTGAGTACAGGGGGCCTGATCCTCAGGGAAGGGGGTGATCAGACTTCCATAGGAGCAGGTCCATGTTACAGCTTTTTTTACAGGAGGTGGTGAGTTTTTTGCCTAGCATTTCTTTTGTAGGGCAGGAATATTACCTGCTAAGCAATCCCTATTGTAGATGCTGGTAGTTGGTTGCACAAGAGATTCCTATACAGGACTGGCCTTGTCGTAGCTTCACAACTTTAGTGTTAACAGTGGAAGGTCAAAAGAAGTTAAAAGCCCAGTACAAACTGCTAGAGCATTTTGTGTTTCTTATCCCAGACTCACAAAGCACTTTGCAGATGTGAAGTCTCCCAGGGCCTCTGTGACTAAGGACCACACAGTTTATTTCACTGGCCACTGAAAGGAAACCATTTGTTAGTCTGAATTGGTACTTCAGGATTGTGCAACACCATGCAGAGTATGTATGTGCGACTGGAAATATACAGGGTATTTAGGCAGCTGGACTGTAAATCTCGCCTGCATCACAATTGGGCCAGGATGCAGGGATTACCATGGCTACTGTTACACAGAAGCCATGGGAGTTTTAGTGACCCCAAGTGACCTTCACTCCATACGGTCCCCCTCTGTTCAAAGCACAAGCATCAGACCGAGTAGCTCCTTGGGCAGCTGCAGGTTTGTTGCTCAGAACCCTTGTCCATCCTGGCTCAATTCTTGATTTTGTGCTCCTTGGTCTTTCTGCCTTGGACTGTAAACTTCTTGATCTGAGCTTCATGCTGTCTTGCAGAGGCAAAAGGGAAAACTCGGATCCAGACAGTGCAGGATGCGGGTTTGAAACAGAGTTCACAAGCTGAACCTTGCTAGGTTTCACGTGTGTGCATCATGTTACAGAGCTGCGTCTTGATCCGGAACCAGAACCTGAGGTTTGGTCTGGCCCCATCTCTGCTAACATGGACTGGAATGAATCAGATCACTACAGAACTGGGTAGACTGCTGGCTGCTGAACTGCCAGCACCTTGTTACTCTAGAGCGGTGGTCTCCAAAGTGGGGTGCGCAAGACAATCCATTGGGGTACAGGAAGAAAATATTAGAACTTCTATTTATATTTATTTTTTATCTAAAAAAAATAAGAAAGAAATTAAGTTTTACTAATATTTAATATACGGATTGACAGTGGCGCCCTCACTCGGTCCGTACGTCAGACAGTCACGTGTCACGTACGGAACGCGAGGTATCCTGAGGGAAGAGTGGAAGTTCCACAACGTGGAGGTACAGTAGTACAGTGTACAGTGGTCTCCAAACTTTGTACAGTGTTACACTGAGTAGTACATGTATATAACTTATAAATAAATATACATATATTGGGGGTGCGTGCTCAAAAATTTTTTACTGATAGGGGTGTGTGGTCAAAAATTTGTTACTGATAGGGGTGCATGATCAGAAAAGTTTGGAGACCACTGCTCTAGATAGGGGTAATGACTAATTCCCTATGGATGCCTGAAGAATTCCTGACTTTCAGCGGAGCAATGAGCTCAACAATGCATCCAGGACAAAGTTAGCTCTTGTCTTTAAAGCAGGCCATGAACAGGACATGGGCTGCTGCAGCATGTTGCCGCTAACTGTTTGTTATGCTCTTAGCTTAGCCTCTCTGATGGAGCTGCACCAGCCGTAGGGATGAAGCTGGCAAGTGCATCATGCCATCATGCATCCCCAGCAGAGCTGCTGCTGAGTGGCCCATTTGTTACGATGGACTGTGCAGCGAGGCGCCTGACGTTCTGTGTGGTGTGTCGTCACTGAACGCTGACTGCTTCAGCATGGAGTCCTTCATCGTGGTATCAGAGTACGATTCAACAGGTGCCATGAGCGAGGAGCAGGGACTTGACCGACAGGAGGGACTGGAGGAAGATGAGCACATGGAGCACTGCAGAGAAGATACAATCATGTCTGACAGCATTGGACTTGAAGAGAAGACCATCTCCAGCATTGGCAGGGGCCCGTTAGATGAGATGAGGGAGGTGCAAGTCAAGCTAAATTTTTCCAGTCGAAAACTCTCTCTCCAGGAAAGGTCCCAGTCAGCACAGTCTCCCGGGAGTAACATAGACATGAATGAGCGATACATTTACCCATCGCTCCCTTATTCTCCAGTCACGTCTCCACATTCGTCTCCTCGGCTGCCGCGGAGGCCCACAGTGGAATCCAACAGAGTTTCCATCACAGGCTTGCAGGTGAGGTGTGGGGGAGAGGGTTGGACCTGTGTGCATCACAGACTGCACTCCTGTGATACATGTATAGTTTCCATAAATATTGGCCTTACTCTGCTGTCTCCTGGGCTCAGGATTCTTTTAACCTGTTGCTTTTGATGCAGCCTTTTATTCTTGCATGGTTCATCTCTATGCTGGAGTATTTTCCTGTCATTAAGGGTGGTTCCTAGCAAGGGGTGTGTGTGAATGACTGTTGGGGGCTCACCATTCAGGGGTCCTGTTTTCTGTGTTCTGATGTGTGTTCCATGTGCCTGTTTCATTGAGCCTGCATTTGTCTTCCCCTTCTGGGTATAGGCAACCTGACGTTCTTGTTGGTTTCCCAGCTAGAAATCTGCATGGCTCCCCATGTGCTCGCTTTCAAATCCTCCCAGGGTCTCCAAATAGAACCAGAGAAGTTGCATGACCCCTGACTGAAGGTTTTGTATTTAAGGACCTGGTCCTGTGAACTCTTAGGTGTGTGAGCAGCTGCTTACTCATGGGAGCAACATGAGCACTTATATGCACATGATATTGGTCCCTTGCAGCACTTGGCAAGCTGTTGCCATGGAACAGTGACTGATTATTAAGTAAGTAGGTAGCATCCTCCATTTTTCAAAGCGTGTTTATTCCTCAGAAGACTTGTGAAATAAATATTGCTCCCATTTTATAGGTGGGGAAACTGAGGCAGCAGGGTAGACCCTTTCATCCTTGAACTCTACTACTCTGTGGATATGGGGGCTGTGGAGTTAAGTCCATAGATTGCCACAAGGCAGGCAGATTCCAGCTTGGCTTAGAACTTGGAACTTCCTGGCTGCCAGGTTTAGTCTGAAATCATGCCATTTAAAAGCCTGTCTGACTGCAACAACAGTGGATGTAATAGCTGTGCTGGGCACTGCAACTTCTTTACCCTGATGATGGGAGGACCTGGTGTGTCTGTTTCAAATCCCCCAAGAGAGAGCCTTCTTGGTCCGGCTGAGTGACTCTGCTAATGGAGCCCAACAGTATTTATCACAGCTTGCAGTGCCAGGGGCTGGGGAAAGAAGGTAAATAATGGGAAATGAGACACTCTTTGGGAAGCTGGGTAGGGAGTTCTGTGATCCCCAACAACAGCAGCTGATTAAAAGAGAGGTGGGCGGAATTAATACCTCCAACCCATTCTTTCCTTATTATGTGTTTGAAAGGAGGAAGATGTGCTTGTATTTATGATGCTCATCTTTTGGCATTAAACCTCCACATGTGTTCTGCAGTGGATGGAAAATGTGTGGTTAATCTGAGAAAACAGGGACTCTTCTTAAGTAACAACAACATGATGGGTGTCAGGGGTCCTTCTTCTTACACCTGAGGTAGCAAAGAGGAGTCATGTCCTCTCAAAAGTGTTCATCTGTGCACAAATGCTGCATTGTGATGTGATAAGAGCCCAATCTTGCATGGTGCTGATTCCCCAGAGCTCCTCATAAAATAAAAGGCCTTGTCCAACCCCACTTAACAGGAGTTTCTTTACTGATGTGAGTTAGGACTAAATGGATTTCTCAGCCCCTTGTATGATCCTGCCTCCAGAGGAAGGGTTTGCAAAGAAGGTCCCGTGGGGGTTGTAATCCTTGAGGAATTATTCATTATCGGGTCACTAGCCTGGGTTTCCTTCCCACAATTTACTAGTTGCTGCTGATGGCAAGAAAGCAAGAAAATGAGGAGCCTGCAGTTTCTTGAACAAGGTTCAGAAGTGGGTGGATGCTGTCTTCTGCCCACTGCGTGAGAAACATGAAGTAAAAAAAAGCTTTTTTGAAAGATAAGGGCGTGAGCTGTTTGTGCGCCCAGAACCTGTCATCTCTAATGCAGAACAGGCCGCAAACATCTACAGCTAGACAGTACTTTAGGCATAATAAAAGTACGTGGAGGTTGGTCACTGGCTGTTGAGTAAGGACTAAACTTTCCATTGCTTACAAGCCCTGATGCACTCCAATGGGTCTATAGCCAGTTAATTTCAGCGACTGATCTTTATGTGCACATTTCATGTGAGGGAATGTTATTGAGTGCAATAACTTGAATGCCTGTAATTAGCCATGTGTAGCAATGCCAAATCTAGCAAATGGCTGTCATCTATTGCTAATGAAATCAAACATTATAGCTACAATCTGAATGGATTTACATTACCAAACAAGCAGTCATCTGCATAGTAAAAGATGACATTTATTGTCTAAAGAATATTGTGTCTGTGACTTAAGAGGCTGTTACTGTTTCGAGATTTGTTTTCTCTCTCTCCAGCTAATTGACTCTAATGGTGCTTCTGATGTCTAGAGCCTTTTCCAGTGCTTTGTTTATGAATTATACATTCCTTTTACCTGTGCAACAAATGGAACAAATAAACATGCAATTGTTTGCATCTACCACTGGTTCAACCTCTTTCATTCTTCCTCCCCTTGTAGGACTGCGTGCAGCTTAATCAGTATAAGCTGAAAGACGAAATCGGAAAGGTGGGTATTCTGTACCATAAACTTGGTGGGTGAGGCCCAGGCTGGGTTGGGGGGAGTGTTTATTTTTCTGAACCCTGTTAGGTCCTGGTGTTAGAAGGATACTGTGTCCCGCGTGTCGGTGCTGTGAGAGCAGAGGGAGGAGCTCCACAGTTCTGGCTAATCTGTGGCTTGTAAAGGAATCCGCAGATCAGTTTATACGCTGCTGGTCATGGGGTCCAGAGTGGCAGATGTACTTTATCTCAGCCGATTCCTGGCAGTAACCTGTGGCTCGTGTGTTTCCGTAGGGCTCCTATGGGGTCGTGAAACTCGCGTACAATGAAGATGACAACACCTACTATGTGAGTATCACTGGTATTGATTGTCTGGTGGCTGGAGCAGGAGACAAGCCTCCCTCCCCTCCAGGGTCTAGGTAGTCTCTGATATTGCAGGCTGGCTGATCTGCCAACCATCTTCCAGCTCTTTAGACCACTTGATTTAAAAAAAAAAATCCAAACCTCACAATGCTGCTAGAAATTCTTCTTTTCCCCAGCAATGGGCTAGGCAGCAGTTTGGTAGCTAAGACTCCTTCCCTGCTTTCTGACCTGGTGCCCGAAAAACACTTTTCCTTGCATCTTGGGCTCCTGCATCACGTCTTTCAGAGGAAAGAGTGAGCATTAGCTAGCTAGCAAATCATGGGAGGCCAAGGGCACCAGAAAGGAGCAAGATCAGCCTTCAGGCTTTGCTGGCCTTATGGAATTAAGACCTTGGGTGGGTGAAGCTAGAGAAGGAAGGAGGAGGACAAGCAGGGGGAGAAGCTTGCAATCCTGGGGAGGGATGAGCACAGGAGGGGGAGCTTCTCTGTGGTGTTGGGAAAAGAAGCCTGGAGATGGAGAGAGAGGGGGAGAGATGCTGCCCTGTATTTGGGGTTTCATATATGTGAGAATGGGCTTCCTCTTTCTTTTCCAAGATGGGCCCAAAAGACTGCTGTGCCCTGTAGGTCAAGGTGTGTTGCTTCTTTCCCATCTCATAGTTTCATAGTTGGGTTGGAAGGGACCTGAGCAGATCATCGAGTCCGACCC